CTTGCTTACATTGCCGCTTATCAATGTCACATACTCAATGCACTTCAACAACATATCTCATGCAAGCTTATCATCTTAATATTATATCAGTAACGCCACATCTTATCATAACGTTTGAATCATACCGAACAAGCTTGAATGAAAAGAAACTACTGTGAGCGTTTCAAATCGTTTTCATTGCTTCATTCAGTCGTGGTTATCATCAGCCAAGATTGCTTCTGTCAGTTTATTATACAGTTTATTATAGTGATGGCCTAGTAGACGACCTTCATTTCAGTTGGAGGCCAACCGACCTGAGTTTCCAACATTGCAACATTCGGAATTCCAACGGACCTTCTAAACTGTCCTTCAGTCGGAACCCAGATGGTGGAATTTCGACTGGAATTTGGTGGATTTATCTGACCTACTGTCGGTCAGACGCCTTCACTCGTGCATAGCGAAGGGATGGATGTTGCTAGCGTTTGCGATCACATCTGAACGGAGAAGTGATTCGTGAATGAACCAGTCAAGAGAACAATAATTCGGTAGCCTAAATTCTGAGCAATCGTCTTCAAGAAATTTTTGGATTCTGTTTGCGGATCGTTTATTCTCTTTGGACATAGACATTTGGTGATGAGTTCTAATTAATTTCAATTAAGAGTTGACCGATTCGAACGTTCATGGCTTATGAAATGTTTCTTGCTGTATTATGTGAACGTGAACGTGGGTAGATAGTGTTGAACAGCTGTGAATGAAGTTAGTGCAGCCAACTGCATTCGTTGTTTTCAGAATTCCACAATGGGAGAAAGCGGTGCAGATATTTGTATCGAAGTCCTTTTAGTGATGTTTATCCCGGTTAGTCGTTTCAATAGCAATCGGTAAACCAACCATAGTCCTGGAAATGAGAATGATATCTGCTGATGAGGTACTAGCTTCTCATCAAATTGCAATTGCTTACATTGATCAACTGAAGGATGTTCGTTTCAGCCGTTAGCCATATGGTACCATGCAGGGGAGTGCAACGGTGACGTGTGCTGCAATCTTTATCTACTTCTTTTCGGCCCCATTCCGCCATGGATACACGCAATTATTTATTGCTTCTGCAGTGACGACGACAAAGTAGTAGTGGTGCAAGAGCGACCAGTCGGACCACAAGTAGTCGTGAACACAGTCACAAACGTAAATGCGTAGTCTCGTAATGACCTATGTGATCACCTGTAACCTTTATATCTGTACGTTAGCTGTATATGTTTAAGACGTACACGGATATAATGCAGTATCGATGTGGATAATGAAATGTAATTTTGGTATATCTCACTTGGAGGATCTGCTCCCTCTTGCGTTTTTATGATAGAAATACTTCGAGTTTTGATTATATAATTTAGTGTCATAACCAAATGAATGGAAATAATTGCTGCTGTCGCAATGATTAGTGAAAGGATTTACGGATCTGATGTGCTGACAAGGGATCGGTTCTGAATCGCATTCCACAGAATTACACCAGTCTTTTTGTGATCAATTCATACCAACATGTTTCATATCAATTGTTCATTTCATATTCTTAGCAATTAATAAGTGATATCGTGCAATGTATTTTCATAAATTTTTCATAAATTTCTTCCGTTTTCCTTCTTACAAGACAGTGTTTTTCTCCGGTAAATTCCTTTATATACTCTTCCTTCGTGCTCTTCAAATCGAGTACATTTGATACGCACATTAATATGCACTCATTCATAACATTCAACAAAATTCGTTAGCAGAAACCCAAGCAAATCAATCGCCCATTATGTTTAAACGATCGGTTCAGAAGACAACTTAGTTTCCGAAATTACCTTGTTTATCATGTAGTATAGCCACCACAGTGGCATAAGGATCTGAAGCAGTAAGATAAGGATTTACAGGGTGAATGAATATTATAATCGGTCAGGTGTTCAGTAAACATTCAGAAATGCAGTTAGATCTGTGTAAATATGCATGTCATATCACTAATGCATGAAACTTTTCGACAGCTCAGGAACATCCCTAATCGAAAGTATGAAAAATTTTATAGGATTTTTCATACAAAATTGAGCACGCATTCCACCTGAAGAGAACGTGCCAAATCATTTCAGTGAATTTTTTGTTTGTTTACGATTAGTTTCTTAATGGAATGACAGCGTGTTGGCGATTATGCAATATTTTGAAATCTGAGTTTCATCTCTTTATGAGTATTGTTACTTTCGATGATCAGGTGTTTAAAACTGAGAAAATCTCATAACAATTTTATGTAACATCACTAGGATCAATCATCAACACTGAGGCGTAATTTTTGCAGCACATTCGATCTGCAATTGAGTGCTTTGCACAATTGAGTGCTTTGCACAAGCACAACACACTTCAAAATAGATATCATCGGTACAAAAGGAATAATATGTGGTGCAGAAAATGCTTTGAATTGAACACGAACGATCAATCATATTTCTGCATAAACCGATCAACTCTTCAAGCGATGGTGATCGCTGCAAATTGCACGAGCAAGTCGCACCTATGAGATTCTAATGAATCAACAGCATCCTCCAAATCCACCACCTCCACCGCCAAAGCCACCGATACCTCCGAAGCCTCCGATACCACCGAAACCTCCGATTCCACCGAATCCACCGCGGTATCCACCCATACCGCCGAATCCGCCGCCGAGACCGCCGAATCCGCCGCCGAGACCGCCGAACCCCCCACCGAAACCACCCACTCCACCGAAGCCGCCACCTCCACCGAAACCACCAGCTCCACCGAAGCCTCCACCTCCACCGAAACCGCCAGCTCCACCGAAGCCGCCACCTCCACCGAAGC